CCTTAGTGATAAGCAATTAACTGTTAATTCCTTATCAGCAAATCTCTCACCAAGAATATTCAGCTACCATCTTGTGTTAACATCTTATGAAGGTTGTCCTAATATGCAAGGATGGAAAAATAACGTAATATCCAAGGATGACCAAATAATATAATTGCAATATAATTTATATATGTTACAATATAATAGAATTTGATTTTGAAAACCTGTCGTATTCAAATTGTATTAACTGTAGTTTTTTAATGGCTGGGTCCTCAGTTAAATGTAATGTTATGGAGTTTTTATACACAACTGACATTTTGACTTGTCACAGCAGAAAACCAGAGTTGTAGCTGTTGAAATAAACAATGACCCCAATTCCATTGTGGTGTGTGACAGTGAGCCAGCATGCAGCCATTATTAATGTATTCATTAGTAATACCTTTTCCTGTCACGTCAAAATGAATGTGGTGTGTAGGCACATAGGAAATAGTTAGGGCTTTATCCCACACATTAGGAAGAGGAAAATGTGACAGGAGGAAAAATCCAATTCACTTTCATTTTCTCTGAATTCCTCTGAATATACGAAGATATAAGTTTTTGTTTTGCTTTTTTGTCACACGTAAATGTTTCAGATCATCAAACCAATTTTAATATCAGACAAAGATGACCTGAGAAAATACAAAATGCAGTTTTTAAATGATGATTTCATTTAAAAGCTATCCAAACCAACCTGGCCCTATGTGAAAAAGAAATTGCCCCCTAAACCTGATAACTGGTTGTGCCACCCTTGGCGGCAACAACTGCAATCAAGCGTTTGCGAAAACTGGCAATGAGTCTTTCACATCGCTGTGGAGGATTTTCGGCCCACTCTTCTTTGCAGAATTGTTTTAATTCAACCACATTGGAGGGTTTTCGAGCATCAACTGATGTTTAAGGTCATGCCACAGCATCTCGATTGGATTTAAGTCCAAACTTTGACCAGGCCACTCCAAAACTTTCATTTTGTTTTTTTTTTGAGCCATTCAGAGGTGGACTTGCTGGTGTGCTTCGGATCATTGTCTTGCTGCATAACCCAAGTGCACTTGCGCTTAAGGTCACAAAGTCGTCCAGGTCCTGAAGCAGCAAAACAGCCCCAGACCATCACACTACCACCACCACGTTTGACTGTCGGTAGGATGTTCTTTTTCTGAAATGCTGTGTTAGTTTTATGCCAGATGTAACGGGACGCACACCTTCCAAAAAGTTCCACATTTGTCTCGTCAGTCCACAGAATATTTCCCCAAAAGTCTTGGGGATCATCAAGATGTTTTATGGCAAATGTAAGACGGGCCTTTGTGTTCTTTTTGGTCAGCAGTGGTTTTCGCCTTGGAACTCTCACATGGATGCCATTTTTGCCCAGTCTCTTTCTTATTGTTGAATTATGAACACTGACCTTAACTGAGGCAAGTGAGGCCTGCAGTGCTTTAGATGTTGTTCTGGGTTCTTTTGTGACCTCCTGGATGAGTTGTCGATGCGCTCTTGGAGTAATTTTGTAGATAATGGCTCTCACTGTGGTTCGCTGGAGTCCCAAAGCCTTAGAAATGGCTTTGGAACCCTTTCCAGACTGATAGATGTCAATGACTTTGTTTCTCATCTGTTCTTGAATTTCTTTGGATCAGGGCATGATGTGTTGCTTTTTGAGATCTCTTAGCTGACTTCATGTTGTCAGACAGGTTCTTTACAGCTTTCCAAAAAATGTGATTAATCACAGTTAATTCATGATTTAACAAGTGGGGGCAATTACTTTTTCACATAGGGCCAGGTTGGTTTGGATAGCTTTTTTTCCCTTAATAAATGAAATCATCATTTAAAAACTGCTTTGTGTATTTACTCAGGTCATCTTTGTCTGATATTAAAATTTGTTTGATGATCTGAAACATTTAAGTGTGACAAAAAAGCAAAAACAAAAGAAATCTGTAAGGGGGTAGATACTTTTTCACAGCACTCTATGTACATATATTGCATTTGCATATGGCTCAGTTTGAATGGTGACATGAAAAGCAGCTTTTGACTTGTTTTATATGATTGAAGTTTTAGCTGAACTTAAGTTCATATCTTTGCATACTCTTAAAACATTCTCATGTCCACATTTTACATTTTGCTGTGGAATAATTTGATGTTACATCACCAATGGACAAACCTTGAGGAAGAGCTCCATCTTCAGGTAATATTTTGTAACTAGCAGGATTCACAATATTCACCCTCAGTTTAGTTTGAAGAGTATGTGTCTGGTTGGGGATCGAAGTTGCCACATTTCATGAGTCCAAGAGTCATCTTAGAAGTTTCAACAAAAGCATGATTTAATATTCAAACTGCTCAAGTGATTTCATTTAGATAGCTGTCTGAGGCACAAAGAGATAAAACACTCCAATAATTCACAGAGAAACTTTGTGGTTTCTTCTCTCTTATTACATGACTCATCTCACAACCCGCCTAAGGGTGTAATGGCACCCATAGGATGTTAGGATATATTGAACTACATAAGTGTATAAAAGGTAGTCCCATTTCAAGCAGCCACAACAGATGGTTACACATGGAACAATCCAATAAATTTAAAAAGGCTAATGTAAGTAACTTCTGGATTATGACTTTTAATTGTAATACTTCACAATTATACATTATGTTGATAATACTTGTGTCCTTTTACTTAAGAAGGATTTTGAATGCAGGACTTTTTTTTACTCTCTTCCCACATGTTGTTATAACCTATATGAATATTGCTACACCATGTGAAGAAACTTGTCTGAAGCTGCAGCTGTTAAACTATGTCCTCCAGGCGTAGATAATGTGTATTACTGCAGCTCTGATTAGAGAAACAAAACAGCGCGCCGTTCCCTGCATCAACAAATGAGTGAAATTGAACTGCAGCCAGCACCAGTTTCCTTTCCGGAGAAAATGATTCCCTCGGTTTACCGACGAATCGGTGGTCTCTGGTGAACCTGCGCCACTCAGAGCGGGAGAGCGTCTGACGCGCTCAGCCAATAGGAGAATGCAGAGGATTTAGGCTAGATGCGCCATTTTACTGCGTCCACAGCTATCCGGCAAGATGGTCTCTTTGCTTTGTCTCCCCTGACCGGAGTTGTTTCGGTATTCAGTTGCTATTCTTGCCTCCAAACCATCGAGAATCTGAAAACTGGACTGAACCGTTCGTCTGTAACAAAAAACACAACACATCTCTGTCAGTCAAGAAATGACGGCGGTGAAAAGCAGGTAGGGGCACAGTTAAATCGGTTTGTTTGGACAAGTATTTTTTTTACATTGAATACTGTGCTGCTTTTGCTAGCGGCAAGCCGGGCCATGAGTACCCATTGCTAGTTAGCAAGCTAGGCTAGTCGAGTAGTGGCTACTAGCTGCGCAGCCGGCAATATTCAAGTTCGTACACATGCATATTCAAATGTACACATGCGTATTCCAAGATGTTTGTCAATGTGAATAAAACATGCGCTTCTGTGTAAGGATGCAATTGCTTGGTTTGTGTTGTAGCTAGTTAAATGTTGCAGTGCTACTTTGGGTGCTGCTAAAAAGTGCCAGGCTGCGGTTAGTGCGCTGGTTCGAGCCACGGTATCGTCGGAGGAAGGAAAGGCCTGTGCATGCATTTTTCGGTGCATGCCCATGCACTGGACCCTGCATGCACTGCCCAGATTGCAAGGTTGCCAGGGCAACGTGGAGCACTGAGAAGAAGTTGTTCAGCGTTAACGGCGGTAGCTAAATCAGCTAATGTTAGCAAGCCTCAACTTGGCTTCCCCGAGAGTCAGGAGTTCCTGTGTTGTCGAAACAGGGTAAGGCTGCGCTGAGGAGAAAGAGCTGCAAATGCAGAAGCGTGAGGTACTTGTTGGGCGAGTGGGCTCTGTATCTGTTTTTCGACTGACACATGATTATGGAATTTAATTCAGGCCTGGTTGCTATTGGCAGGACTGAGTGAAGGCTGAGCACAGCTCATAGCGATCTAATCAGCACATTATGATGACGCAAAACGGCGAAATAAACAGCGATGCCTCTGTCTCAGAGTGATGTGCTGCAAATAAATGCACGTAAAACCATGTAGGTAACGTACTGTTTCGGCTCGATTGGCGTATAACAACATAAATCAAATGCTGTGATTTTTAATGTTTACCAACGATATCCTTTTCTCTCTATAGCCAGCATTGTCGTTGTCTTTCTTGAAGACTAAGGAAAAAACAAAACATCGACTGTTATCTTTGACATTGCTGGCAACTGTCTGGAAAGAGCATGTCGATTCTGTCCTTTATTGGCATAAGTCTGTATAATCATAGTTACTCATCATTTTGAACACATTTTTATAAATGTAGCAGATGTTTATAAAATATTTTTCTTTGTTGTGAAAAAAATCAAAATCGGTAGGTGATTTAAAATTATTGAATATCTGAGAATATGTTTAAGAAATGCCCAAGTTTGTGGTTTTCATTTTCCCTACTCTTGCTGCTTTCTTGTTTATATCAGTACTTTGCTGTTTTTAAACAATATCTAAGTTATTGTCTCTTGTCCTTGGAGTTGAGGCTGGATTTTTGTACCAGGGCAATAACCTTTTAAAATGGCTCTTTAAAGTTCAGCTGCTTTTCAATTGAATGAAATACACAAACATAAACACCCATTATACAGAAATAGTGGAATTGTGGTATCAATTATTATTCGGTACATGCACAGTAAAAACACAGCATGGTTGTTTTTGGTCTTGTATGGTAAAAGAAAATGCTTGTAGCTGTGTCATTTTTACTGAATCCTATCCCTGTTATTAAGGTACAACATCTTAATTTACCAGTATGTTCATCAAACAACTCTTCAAATGTCTCCTTAGGTAATATGAGTCTGGCTTCTTCTGAATCAAACCTAGACCCAATGGCAGAAAAAGCAGAGGAGGTAAGTATTCAACCTCTTGGGCAGTCTAATAACATGCTTTTACCTTTGTGTATTGACAGTATGAGAAAAATAAACTAATCCCAAAAGGCATATATTTGACAGTTTTTTAAATATGGTTTGTTTTTAATTGTCATGGTATTAAAATAAATCTTGAATCCTCATCAGCCTGGAAGCTCAACAGAAAATATGAAGCCCTCTTCTTCTCGCAACAAGAGGTGAGGGGCAGTTTTCTGAAATATGGCAGTTATTGTTTTGTTTGCTGCTACGTGCTGTCGAAACAGTCCTCACAGACACAGCTAAAATAAAACTTTGTACTAACAAATTTTAGGAAGCCCGCTACTGTAGCTAAGCACACTGGACAGAATGAATCCGACGCCTCAGCCGAGAGTGAAAATGAAGGTGCCACTTCTGACAATCCTTCAGACAGCAACACGGGCAGCGCATCTAAAGGTATGAACTATGGATGTACATGTTGGTCATGTCAAGACATTATTGATGCTGAATAGGATGTTGATTTTAGGAAACAATTTTGCTATTTCTTTTTTTAGGCACTTTAGTTATGAGGCCAGCTGGGAATGAAAACAAAGGCGCCATGAAGCTCAGAGTGGATTTCAAACAGAAACATACAGGTAAGTTAATTTAATTACTTGTAAGCAATACATATCTTTGGTATGTTGATGTTCATAAGTGAACATGCATAGAATTTGAATGTAAATGAACTTTGTAGTTTAAGAAATCATTTAGTGAGGAAAAGTGAAAGGGAAAAAGTGACAAGTGACTGATTTCTTTTTTCTGTATAACAGATGATACCCTGCAGAAGAAGGTAAGCTGCACAGCCTGTGGAAAACAAGTAAACCAGTTTCAGCGCAACTCTGTGTGTGAGCATCCTGCTCTCAAAGTACTTATTTGCAAGGTAGGAAAGTCCGATATTTCACACATTTCACACATGTTCATAGCCATTACAATGAAATTCCACCCTAACATTTTTCAGTCTCTCCATTCTTGATGTTTTGGTGATCACATTATTTCCTCTTCCTCTAGTCATGCTACAACTATTACACAAGTGATGACATCAGCAGAGACTCTGATGGAATGGATGAGCAGTGCAGGTACAAAGTTTTACACAAGACCAACAAAACGATATGGTTTATTTGTTATAATAACAAGAAGATACGCAATAGAAGTAATTAGATATGAATTCTAACATTGTAGGCTTGGCTGGGCATCTCATTAATACATTACATAGATTTGATCATGATGGTTCTTTAATGACATGGAACATGGAATGCCCCTTTGAGACTAACATTTAATGAAATACCTGAAATACCTGAAAATTATTTCTGACCTTTTATTAATTTTTCATTTCTTACAAATAAATCTAATCTTTTTATAGATTTTGGCTCAATTTTTATCCACGTGCCAATAATTTAGGAAACCTTAGTATAAGTGGTCCTAACTATTTAAGATTTCAAAGACCTTATGTATTTTATGCCCTAAAACTCTCCCTCCCCAGGTGGTGTGCTGAAGGAGGCAAACTCATCTGCTGTGACTACTGCAACAATGCCTTCTGCAAAAAATGCATTCTGCGCAACCTGGGCAGGAAGGAGCTGTCAGTCATTACTGATGAGAACTCAAAGTGGCACTGCTATGTCTGCAGGTCTGAGCCCCTCCAGGATCTGGTCTCCAAATGCCACCGTATCATGGAAAAACAGGAACGTGTCCAACTCAAGCAACGGAAAGCAGATAAAACAGATAAAACGGATAAAACAGAGGAACGTGAGAGCAAGAGACACAAGACCAAAGCAGTCAAAGAGCACAAAGCAGTTGTTAATGGAAAAGAACACGTCGAAGGCTCAGGGACCATGACGTTTTCCTACAGAAAACTCCAGGTACCCAAAGAACTCATAAAGAAAGCTAAAAAGCTTGTTGAAACTACAACTGGCCTCAACAATACATTCATCCAGTTCATACAGCAGGAATCTGAGGAGCAAGGAGATAAATCTATCAGGTGTCGGCATTTGAAAGCCTTCAAGGCTGTGCTTGCAGATTTGAAGAAAGCCCACAGTGCTTTGGAGGACGCTTTGGAACCTGAGTTCAAAAACATGGAGTTGCAGAACGGTAATGAAGCGCAACATAATGTGAAAAAGACCACTAGTGTTGTGGCTCCAGTAGAAAATGACCACATGGATACTGTGGCGGATGCAGGTGATGAGGCTGAAGCAGCTGAAGAGCCGCACGAGGAGCAAGAGCAGCAGCCTAATGAGCAGGATGTAGACAATGATCAAGTTTCAAATGAGACTGAAATGAAAGACAACCAAACCGAAATTGAGGTAACCAAAAAGACCATTAAATCTGAGGTCTGTGACGATGGGCTAGTGTCAGCTGGTGAAATGTCCTTAGATCATGACATCATGTCTGTGCCACCTTCAGTTCCTGAAGAGCTTTTTCAGATGGTGGAGAGTCTTGCGGATTCCACCATGCTATCACAGTCTGAAACGGATTTGGTCACAGACACTGATGCAAAGTCAAATGGAAACTCAACAGACTCTCAACGTCCCCAGCCCAAGGTGAAGAACCTCATAGTCAAACTGACTCCCGTACCAGTCGTGACGACATGTGGGTCAAGGTCCTCCAGGTCCAAAAACAGAGAAAATGATGGAGAGATGCAGAAAAAGTGCAAAGAAGAATGTGAGGAGGAGACAGATGCTGCTGCTGATACAGTAGATGGGGCAGATAGCCCACCACCCAGCCGTCGCTCTAGTAGAGTGAAAACCACCCCTTTGAGGAAGCAGGCTGAAAATAAGGGCAAGGAAGAGTCCTCTGAGTCAGAGTCAGAGGAAGATAGTAAGGCCAAGGCCAAATCCACCAAGAAATCCAGTAACACTAAAAAAGAGGTTGAGAAGCAGACCAAGACTTCAGGGAAAAAGACAGAGGACTCTGACTCAGACGAAGTCCCTCACATACTGCTAGAGAAAGCTGCAGAGGGCCACAGCACAGATGAGGAGCAGGGAGGCACCAGTGCTAAAAAGCGTTTATTCAAAGTAAACAACACGTCCACGCAGGATGCAGACAAAGCATCCAAACGTAAAAGGAAGTCTGAAAGCTCTGGTTCAGATGTAGAGAACAAAAGTAAAAAGACTTCCAAGAAGAAAAAACAAAAAGGCTCCGACTCCTCAAACTCTGACTCTGACCAGGAGACGAAGAGTAAAGCAGGCCCGGCGAAGAGGAGATCTAGCCGCGTGAAGAAACAAGGTGAAGCAAAAGAGGAAGACAAAACCTCACCTGAAAGGAAAGCGGCTGAGCGGAAAAGGTCTTATGAAAAGAAGCGCAAGGGAAGCAGCGCCAAAGCAGCCTCCAAGCTGCAGTCATCGTCCTCCAGTGAGGAAGAGGAAGAGCAACAGGCTGATGGTGGCTCCGGTGATGACAGCGATGAGCAAAAGATCAAACCCATCGTGGAGGATAACGTGGTGGGAGGGGGCGGACCTTTCCATCAGTCCTCAGGTAATTTGGTCTAGAAGAGCAGAGTGGTTAGGGGCGCTCAAGCTCAGAGAACCTGACCTTTAATTTCATATGATATAGGAAAAGGCTGATATTTTGGGGTTATGCTTATTTACGCTTATTTGTTTTCTTGCTGAGAGTTCATAGAGAATTGTACCAGTGTCTTGTCTGTACTACAAATATGTAGGCTAGCAGCCGGTTGACTCAGTTTAAAAAATGTTGAACTGTTCCTTTGATGACTTGCGTGCTCTTCTAATAGTGATAAGTGTGTTATTTTGTTGTGTAGGAGACGAAGTGGATGACAAAGAAGTCTCTCGGGTTTGTGAAGATGATGACGATGACGATCCTGAAAACAGGTACCTAATTAACAACACACTGCCATTATTCCCCTCAATTGGGGGGGCAATGACAGTCAATCAGGAGTTCTTCATCTGTATCATTCATTGTCAACAAGGAAGCATCTCTTTTTACTGTGTGCTGGTTTTTTACAGAAAATGTAAGGATTTGATTTGTCACAGGTAGAGCTTTTTAACCTAATATATTAGCTGTGCCCTGGTGGCAACACTTGACTCACCAAGCACAGAGCGGCTGCTCAGTCTGGTATGTTGTGTTTTCATTAGATACTGTACTTCAAAACACGTCCTGAGGGCAGCATTTCTCTCTGGTTTCTCCCAGGGCATCTGTATTTTTCCTTGATAGTGCCCATAGCAATGTCGCAATAGTATCATGATATTTCTATAGGCTGTTTGTGTTTCCATCAGTTAGCCATTCACAAGCCCCAAAGAATAATTGATGATATGTTTCTATAGATTACAGTAGAAAATTGCTTTGTAGAGAAAGCAAAGCACTATCTTGGTGTCTCTAAGTAAATATTACATTTTCAATTATAGTTATAGAAAGGATATAACTCATTTGTTAACAAGTTACTTGATTCATGAAAGGAATTATTTGTGTTTAAGTTCAAGATTAGACACTCACATTTTAAATGTTTCTACTGACCACTTATTTTTTCCCATCGTTTAACAAATTTTGTACAGGCAGCTTTGTGGCCTTTTATTTTTGACTAATGTGAACCCCTCTCGTGTTTGATCTGTGTCTTTGTTGTTTCTTTTCTTCTGAAGGATTGCAAAGAAAATGCTTCTGGCCCAAATAAAATCCAGCTATTCTTCAGGAGCAGAGAGCTCCTCTGATAATGAAGGAGCAGATAAGGACAAAAAGTCCTCTAAAGTTAAAAAAGAGGAGGATGAGGATGAAGAAGAAGAGCAGCAAGGTAGCAAACATTTGCTAAATATATCCAGTTCTTTTCAAATAACCCTCTTTTATTGCATATCAACTCCAACGATTTGTCTCTCTCCTTGAAGATGACGAAGATTCAGAAGATTCAGGTTCTGATGTTGAAGTGAAGAAGCGTGGACGACGTCACAAACTGCTTCGTCATAAACTCTCACTGAGTGAGGGTGAATCAGGAGAGGAGAAAACTTCCAGTAAAGAAAAGAAGAGCAAGGGGGGCAAGAAGAAGTCGGGGCGGCAAGGTTCATTTTGAATTTTTTATTTTTAATTTTTTTTATTTGCTCTCTGTGTCATGTCTAAAAATATGGGTTAAAGTATTCCAAGGTCTGTGAGACTAGCAAATGACTTTTGTTTCTCTGTCTGTTATTTGTCGGTCTGTCAGTGGACAGTGATGACTCTGCAGACTCCGACTTTGAGAAGTCAGAGTCCAGTGCAGAGTCGGGGATAAGCGAGGAGGTTAGTGAATCAGATGACGATGGGAAGCGCAGAAAGACGAGGTGAGAAGAGAGAACTCCGTCCAATCATTTTTGGTTATTTATTTCACTGCCACTCGATCTAGACTGATCTCCTGCCAGAGCTTTGACAGATTCTGCTTTGTTTCTAGATCTTCGAAGAAGAAGGATGAGGAGAAACAGAGAAGTTACAAGCAGAAGAAGAAGCGACGCAGGATCAAAGTTCAGGATTCCTCTTCCAGCAATGAGAAGGTGTTTAAAATGCAGTACACTTGGTAGCAGTCTTGAGCTGTCCCAAAGTGTCCTTTTTTTCATGACAGGCTTTGCCAGGTGGAGAAGATGGACCCAAATAGTGTTTACTAGTCAAGTCATGCATGACACATAAAATGTTATTTGAACTTACCCCTGGAGTGTGTTGTGAAGATTATTGAGGGCACAAATTAATCATAGGCTTGGTTGGCCACTGATCATAGGAAGTGAGTTTTTCTTCCTAAGGGCTGAAGATCAGAGGGCTGAATTTAATGTTCATTTCCGCAGAGTGGAGAGGAAGATGATGAGGACCAAGATGGAGATGGACGCAAAGGACGCAAAAAGATCCGCAAAATCCTGAAGGACGACAAGCTGCGGACGGAGACGAGAGATGCTCTGAAAGAGGAGGAGGAGAGGAGGAAACGTATAGCTGAGAGAGAGGCACTCAGGGAGAAACTACGAGAGGTAAAAATGAGAAGTCCTGCTGTTATTCTGAAGCACAGACTGTAGGTCAAAAGCTCTGAACTGTTAAATTCACTAGTGTTGAGTAATCTGTCAAACCTACATACAAGGTAAAAATGTAGAAAACCCCTTTTAGTACTGTGATACAATTTCAGGAATTTCACCCAGGAAAGTAGAGGAGGTAATGTGTAGAACTGTATTGTGTCGATTAGAGCTGCAACAATTTGTTTATTGACTGAACATCGATCTAATTATGATAATGAATTAATTGCATGAAAAGCCTTTTTTCTTTTTTTCTTTAAGTATATTTTTTGGGCTTTTTTCTGCCTTTATTGGATAGTATAGTAGAGAGAGACAGGAAATGGGGAGGCAGAGAGAGGGGGAATGACATGCAGCAAAGGCTGTCCAATGCGGGACTCGAACCGGGGCCAGCTGCAGCAAGGACTGTAGCCTCTACATATGGGGCGCCTGCTTAGACCACTACGCCACTTGATGCCCCATGAAAAGCCTTTTTTCAGGCAAAAATCTCAATCGATGGTTTCGGTTTCTCAGATGGGAGGATTTGCTGTTTTTTTCTTCTTATGTTACAGTAAACTAAATATTTTTGCAATTTTTTGTTTAAAAAAAAACAAGCATTTTGAAGATGATTGTAAAAATATTGTCTTGTTTTTTTTTTACCACTATTTTACTAAGTTATTAATTGAAAAATAACTGGACAAATAATCAGCAATGAAAAAAATCACTAGTTGCAGCCCTAGCATATGTGGAAAAGACATGTCTGCTGTAGAAGTATGTGAGAAACGGCGTAGGATCCAATCTACTCAATTTAAAGTCCAGAATCTATTCATCAAAGTGTGAGAAACAGCTGGAGTGGCTTAAGTCTGTGTGATTAGTCCATTGTCTGAAATCTATAGTCAGTATAAACTTGATGAGATTGTAAAATAACAGCATAATTAACTGTTAAATTTTCTACTGAATATCTAATTTTTTTTTAGAGGAGCATGTCGGTAACTTTGAGTCACAACATATAAGGTGATGTATTTGCCAGTAGGGAGACTGAAGAGCATCAATTGTATCTGGATGTTTTAAAATAACCGACAGAAATTAGTCTCATTAGCTTTCCTCGCCTTAAATCTAGATATAAACGCATCTGGACAGACAGATGAGCACACACGACAAATCTGAATGCACCTCTGGTCAGTATCACCAACATGTTAAGTAGTTACAAATCATTTTCATTAAAAAAAAGTTATCTGTTTTATCCAAAGACCATGAAGAATAAAGCCAATTAATGTCAAAAATAGAACTTTTTCACTAATTAAACTATAATGAAATGTTGACATGTAAAAAACGTGGGGCGCCCCGGTGGCTCAACAGGTAGAGCACGTACAACTTAGGCTCACTCTTTACCGCAGTGGCTATGTGTTCAAGTCTGACCCATGGCCCTTTGCTGCATGTCATCCCTTCTCTCTCCCCCCCAACTTCCTGTCACTCTCTCACTGTCCCTATATGAATAAAGGCAAAAAAAGAAAAAAACATGTATCCTGAGGTTATGAAAAGAACTATCAGACTTTCAGGTAATAGTTGATTGACCCTACTTTCATAACAAATCTTACAACCTTTCTTGTGATTCCCCTCTCCCTGCCTCTGACCTTTCTTCAGGTGATTGTGGTGAAGGAGTCTTCCCAGGTGACGTGTCCCATCACCACCAAGCTGGTGCTGGATGAGGACGAAGAGACCAAGGAGCCGCTGGTGCAGGTACACAGGAACCTTGTCACGAAGCTCAAACCTCACCAGGTTGACGGTAAGGACAAAGTGAATTCAGTCCCTAGAAACATATGTGTTGAACAGTAAATTAGCCAACACAAGCCTGCGTGTGTAACAGTGGGATGTTCTGGTCTAATCTAAGCCACTCTGCATTTGTGTTTTGTTCCAGGGGTGCAGTTCATGTGGGACTGCTGCTGTGAATCTATGAAAAAGGTTGAGAAGTCTGCTGGCTCCGGCTGTATCCTCGCTCACTGTATGGGCCTGGGAAAAACTCTGCAGGTAAGGAAGAAAGAGCAACATGCTCCTCTAGGTGAAAATTACACTAAAGGTGTTTTCACACCTGCCCTTTTTAGTCCGGTTAAACCAAACCCTGGTTTGTTTTCCCCTTGGTACAATTCCTTTGGGCAGGTGTGGAAACAGTAATCCCACTTGGGTGAGGACCAAAACAATCACACGAGACCCTTTCAAGGAGGTGGTCTCGATCCAGTCGGAACTCTGGAGCAGTTTGTTTTTGGTGTGAAAGAGTTCTGAACTCGATCTGATCCCACTAGCAGGTGAACTCACAAGTTTGAGCTAGACAGTTCCCGCAACCTTCTCCCTGTTTTTACTTTCCTGCTCCAGCCAGACAATCTGATCAATAAGCGGAGTGAACGTTCTCACATGGTTTGTAATGGTGCATTTTGGTTCACTTGATTTTTTTCTCTGTGTGAAAGCAAACTGAACCAAGGGGAAAATGCTACAAGTCAACTCATCAACTGAATCGAACCAGGGCAAACAAGCTATAGGTGTGAAAAAGCCCTAAAGCTGCACAATATGAAACAAGGAAGGAAACTGTCCATCTTAAACAGTTCAATATGTATCTAGATACATGGTAAACAAACCCTGATGAACGAATCAGTATCTGAATAGCTGTGTTAACTGAAGTTCTCTTTTTGCCCTATAGGTGGTGACCTTCCTTCATACTTTGCTGCTTTGTGAGAAGCTCGACTTCACTACAGCACTGGTGGTTTGTCCCCTGAACACTGTTCTCAATTGGCTCAATGAATTTGAGAAGTGGCAAGCAGGAATGAAGGATGATGAGAGTTTAGAGGTGAAGAATGGCTATCGTAAAATTTCAGGTTCTTCCTATTTGACAGTGGTGTGGTATTTGTTTTTTGTTTTTTATGTGTGTGTGTACGTGCGTGTGCATTTGTTTTTGATCACACGCCTGATTCATGACCTTTTTATCTTTTCAAAGATGTCTACACAACATATTGATATTTGCTGTGTTTAACAGGTGACTGAGCTGGCTACAGTAAAAAGGCCACAAGAGCGAGCATATGCCCTCCAGCGATGGCAAGAGATGGGCGGCATTATGATCATCGGCTATGAGATGTATCGAAACCTGACGCAGGGCAGGAACATCAAGAGCAAGAAACTCAAAGAGACCTTTCAAAAGACACTGGTAGATCCAGGTATGGTGCTGCGTAATGCTGCTATGTGTTAGAACTGCATGTTAAAGTATGTAGGAGCTCTAATGAGACCGTGAAAAAAGAATGTATCTGATATATTCAGTTCTGATTTGATTTGACTTTTTCACCTATGTTATAAGCTGGCCTAATGAATGTCTGTTGACTTGATTGATTTTTAAACGTGTTTCTAGCTGTTCTCTCTGTTGTCCTCAAGCTTCTCTTTTTCCTTGTTCACTTACACCAGGTCCAGACATGGTGATCTGTGATGAAGGCCACATCTTGAAGAATGAGGCATCTGCGGTGTCCAAAGCAATGAACAGTATCAGGACGAGGAGGAGGGTTGTTCTGACTGGAACGCCTCTGCAAAACAACCTTGTTGAATGTGAGACTGCCTTGGTCGCAATCCTTATTAAAAAAAGACAGACAAATAGTCTGGTTTTCTTTAAATGATTTTATGTATCTAAAACTTGTAATCTCTGTCTCCTTACCAGACCACTGCATGGTGAACTTTATCAAGGAAAACCTACTTGGATCAATTAAGGAGTTCAGGAACCGCTTCATTAACCCCATCCAGAATGGTCAGTGTGCCGACTCCACACTACATGATGTCCGGATCATGAAGAAGAGGGCTCACATCCTCTATGAGATGCTGGCCGGCTGTGTCCAGGTAAGAAAAAAACTGGCTGACACAATTGCCTCAGGTTCTCTTTGACCGCCTCTTCTTTGTCTCCTAATACGACTCATTTATTTCTTCTTCCCACAGAGGAAGGATTACACAGCGCTCACCAAGTTCCTGCCTCCAAAACATGAATATGTGTTGTCAATAAGAGTGACGCCAATCCAGTGCAAACTCTACAGATACTATCTGGAGCACTTCACAGGTGAGAACCATGCTCTATTATGTTTTTTTTTGTTTGTTTGTTTTTGATGCACAGCAGCAAAGGGTGTTGAGACAAGACGGTGCTGTGTGATTGCTTGGTCCAAACTATTCTGGTCTTTTTGGGTGTTTGGAGCAGCACAGCCTCTAGGGGCTGCTAGTAGGGCTTTTACAGAGTCAGGTCTGATTGCCCAGACAGGGGTTTAGCCTAGTCTTAGACTAAAACAAAATTCAATTGAAAATTCCACTGGAAAACATGCGTAGGCTAGGACGAGGCTAAATCCTACTGCAGGAGTCTTGTTTCTCTTAAAATTGCTCTCTTGACTGGATGTCAGAGACGGTTTTTAGATAAATGGAAAGCCTTTCTGGTTTCTCACTTTTTCATACTGTATTGTTAAGTCGTTTAGTGGACTTTTCTCTCTGAATGTGGCCCACTGTGTGTGTGTGTGTGTGTGTGTGTGTGTGTGTGTGTGTGTGTGTGTGTGAGTGAGAGAGAGTGGCAGCTGGCAGAGTGCCGCAGGCAGGGTTTAAGCCCAGTTTCCCACGTCTCCCTAATGAAGAGCTCTGGGAGAGGGAGAACGGGGGGTGGGGGGTAAAAGGGGGGGTGGGGGCATAAAGGAAAGGGAAAGAAATTTTGAGGCAGGAGGGGCCAGAGGTTTTACACCAAAAGCGAAAACAAAGAACAGGAGAGCCGGTAAGAAGAGGAGGGGGGGTGGGGGGTGGGGGGCGCATTGGTGGTATGTGCTGTGGCTCATTAGGCTGGGTTGTCCACAGGGCACAGTGCTGATGTTGTGACTGTGGCTCTGGATCTCCACAGTGGTGTGTTTGGACCTGAGACCACCAGTCAGTCTACAGGGTGGGAATGGCCTCAAATGTTCCCTCCTTTTGCCACTACTTATGTTAAACCCACCATAACTTCTGACCCCCCAGGGTCAGTGCAGACCAACTTGCAGAGCAGGTACAATGTTATCATTTCAGCAGCTGCCCCTTTACTCCAATCTGTCCATAGTCAGGTGGTTAGGGGTAGAGAGTTTTGTTGCACTACGTTTTCCACTCTCGTCAGTATGTATGAAGAGATTGAGGGCATGCTGTCAAGTACATAATGCAAACACACATCCATCTTCCTCCTCACACTCTTTCCCTTGTGTGCAGGTGTGGGGAATGCTTTGGAGGGGGGCCGGGGCCGTGCGGGGACCAAACTCTTCCAGGATTTCCAGATGCTCAGCAGAATCTGGACCCATCCCTGGTGCCTTCAGCTGGACTACATCAGTAAAGAAAACAGGGTAGGGCTGTGGAAGACGAGACTAAACCACACTAAACACTAACTCAAAAACTGGGAATACATTAGCACAAATTACACACACTGTGGGGAAACAATAGAAACACAGTGCTGACAGGTCATGCACTAGGGGAGAACAACAGACACATTGCCACTGCGGCAGAATTTTTCCCTTATGCATCATTTCTGCTATCCACAATCCAGCTCTGTGTTTGCTTGACCTATATCACCACACAGTGGAGCCTCACACAAGTGCACTCTCTTGCAGGGTTTCTTTGATGAGGACAGTATGGACGAGTTCATTGCCTCAGAAACAGAAGAATCTTCGATGAGCATGACCTCCGAGGATGAGAAGACGAAAAAGTAAAATCATATTCACTTCCTTTTTTTTTTTTTTTTTTTTTTTTTTTTTTTGTACATTTAAGTCGAGGTGACCTCATTTAACTGCCCCTCTCTATTTCATCTGTTACTCTTGCTGACCTCGTCTCTTCCACTGTTCCTCTTCTCTAATAGGAAAAAGAAGCAAGGGAAGGGAAAAAAGAAGGGATCTGATGACTCGGACAGTGATGATGTGGAGGTCATCAAGGAGTGGAACACCAGCTCTCGGGGCAGAAACGGAGAGGGCAGAAACAGAGCAGAACCTGTCGAGGAACGTAAGTCTGGTGTATTTACTACATATTAAGGACCAGAGTTGTATGTATGTCACCTTCCTTTGCAAAACATGTGATGCCATTCACCACTTATTTCCATGTATCAGGGATAGTAGCCTCGCAGAAGCCAGCCTTGATGATGCAAGCTCAATGTTTTTTTCTAGATTTCCTGAAAAATATCCACTTAGAATTGATTGAGCCTGGAAGCCAGAAATTTAGGACATATTATGGACTTCAGGGACTAGTTTTAAATTACAACAATAAGCAACATAATGTTTTAAATTTTGAACTATACTAATTTTGTAGTATTTAGGTTTGTGGTTCTGAGTGGTAAAAGGTGATCCGGTTGGCTGAAAAGCATTGATTACACCCCTAACCCAAGTAAATGGTCACTATATTACAAATGTCATTGTATTATTACATTTATAATGTTGGGAAAAATGATAAAGCTGGTGTCATATTAAAATGCATGAATAGATTAGTTCAAAAGTAAACACAAAAAGACGGCAAGCTGTAGGAACTTGATTGAGCAGATAAACATATGGAAAACAGAATAAATATTTAATGACATTCCTGCTTTAGTAACAACATCTGCACACACTGCAGCTGGAGTCTAGCAGAAAAAAACAGTGAAGCTCAGTATTGATGAAACCTGATGTCATTGTTACAGCTTGTTCTGAGACTTCACTTGACCGCATGCAGACTAATCTGTAACTTTATGCATCAGAACCAGCTCGGCCCTCTGGCTCAGCACCCGGGAGTCCTAGTGCTGACTGGCACAAGGAGTTTGTCACTGAGGCTGATGCTGAGATCCTGGAGCACTCTGGAAAGATGGTGCTCCTCTTTGAGATCCTGCGCATGGCGGAGGAAGTGGACGAAAAAGTGTATGTTTGTTTGTATTTTTTTTCTGTTTTGCAGTTGGTTCTCAGTGTGACTGGAAAGTGTTGGCTTAATCACTGGGTGACACGTAGCTCTAGTAAAGTGATACTGGTGATACTTGTGTCCTCAGGTTGGTGTTCAGTCAGTCTCTCATCTCTCTGGACCTAATTGAGGATTTCCTTGAACTGGCATGCAGAGCTAAAGATGAGGAAAAAATCTCTCCATACAAAGGTCTGTTTTTAGTGCAGTCTGACGTTTTTATTCAAGAAATTTTCATTGTACTCAGTTAACATGTCTGTCATGTTATCCTACTTTCCCGAATGATCCTACATTTGTCTATGATCAGCTTCCCTCTGCCTGTTATGATTTGAAATGCTGCGCTTGGTTTCATGATGTGCTAAAATCACCAAGCAATGTTTAATATTATAAGCCAGCTGTTGATTTATGCTGCTCGAGGAGCCCAGCTGTCCGTCCTGAGGTTCAATTTTGTGGTTTTTACATTGTAGTCTGTCATGTTAACATAGCTTTGGAGAAGGCTGAAGTATTTTCATATGGAGATGCATGTTTCACACTCATAAGACAGCCCACATGCAACATGTATTCTTGTAATCGCTGGTTTGCTTATTATCCTTAAACACACACAGACACACACATACACACCGCCGCTGGTGTAAGGTCATGTTCCTAATTAAACTTCAGCAGCTGTTTTTACTTTCATTTTGAAAATGATTAGACCTTGACTTTTTATTCCACAAAAAATGTTTGCTCAAGGGTTTGTAATTTGTAATGAAAAGATCACAGTGCTGTAATTGGAAACATACTGAAATGTTGGTTATGAAGACTGGTAGGGGGGTCGGCCATCTTGAAGGCTAAACACGGCTGGCCTCTAACCAACACAGGCATCTATCTGCTGTCTGCTAATACCCAAACTAAGTCCTTTTGACAAGGAAAAGGCCTAGTTGACGATGACATGTGTGTGTTTTTAAGACTTTGTGGAGCATAGATGTTGAGTAGTCAAAATAAATTTCGTAACTGTAATGTATCTGTGAAGGTGAAGGCAAGTGGTTCAGGAACATTGACTACTATCGCCTGGATGGCTCCACTAACGCCACTACCAGAAAGAAGTGGGCTGAAGAGTTTAATGACACCAGTAACACAAGGTAATGTGCCTTATTATATTAAACAGCTCAGAACAATAATAAGATCAAACATCCCAGACCTTTGAAACTATAAAAACAATACTTAAATTTAAAGTACATCTTAAAGCAAAATGCTGAACAGCTGAACTCTCTGTTTGTCTTACTCTCTTATACTTTCCCAGAGGTCGTTTGTTCCTCATCTCAACACGAGCTGGCTCTCTCGGCATCAACCTGGTGGCAGCCAACAGGGTCATCATCTTCGATGCATCCTGGAACCCCTCCTACGACGTCCAGAGTATTTTCAGAGTGTACCGCTTTGGCCAGCTTAAGACTGTCTACGTCTACAGGTTCCTTGCCCAGGTGAGTTTGACAGGCTGTCTTGTTTATATCTATGAATGTGTGTGACAGGCTGCTACTCCGATATTTAAAACACATCATCTGTGATCAGCCAAACTCCATTTCTTTTGTTTTTCTTTTCTCCATATCTAGAAACAGTTCAGTTGACAGTAATTCACCTAAGTTTAAATCCTACACAGCTTCTATAAAAACAAGTATGTTATATGCTATCAGCAAAAAAGTGAGGAAGCAAACAACATTTATAATAACGAGTAATGACACATAATTAACATGTTTTGGCAGTGGTCGGGAGTTTGGATTGGTAACCAATAAAACTGATAAATTTACAAATTGAAATCTCTGAAACACCCATTGGTGCATTTGTGCTGAATCTCAATACCTCTAAGTGTGCGTACAGAGGGCACTTGCTGCTTAGTAAATAACCTTATTTTGGCTCACAGCTTATTTCATTCTCTTCTGTCAGGGTACAATGGAGGAGAAGATTTATGAGCGGCAGGTAACCAAACAGTCGTTGTCATTCCGGGTGGTGGACCAGCAGCAGATTGAGAGGCATTTTACAATGAACGAACTGGCTGAGCTCTACACCTTTGAGCCGGACTTGCTGGATGATCCCTCAGAGAAGAAAAGCAAGAAAGCCACACCCATGCTCCCTAAGGTGAACATGCATATCTGTATGCTATTTAGCTGTTCAGACTGTTTTAAAATTATGTTTTGATACTGGACTAGGCATCTTTTTAGGAATTAAATTTAGGATAAATCAGACGTGTAATTGGTCTTTGACGAACCACTGACTGAGATTTCATGGTTTTCTTTAGACTAATCCCCAAAGGAAATGCTCAAAAGCAAGCTGAAACCTATTAACAGTAGTAAAATAGTCTTTTATCCTTCAACAAACATGGCACAGAATGCCATTTTAAATGCCAAGCTTGTTTTTCCAAACTTGCACCAAGTAGTGTGTTCTTTCTTTTGAAGTTTAGCACTTGAGTGATAAACTGTTATTTAGACCCAATGCCAGCTTGTATCCTGCTTGGCCTTTCTGGGATCTTTCTGTTTCTTCTTGTTTCCTTTCATAATCCTGCACTCGCCTCTTCTATCCTTAATGCAGGTGCTGTGTCACTATTTGGGCCCCCTGGGGTTTAATAAGAACACACATCCCTTACATGGGCCATCCAACCCCGCACAGCTGCACAGATTTGTCTGTTTACTGCTATTTACTAAATAGTCTTCTTATTGCAACATTGCCGCTGCCCTGCTATAAACCTGCACTCCTCTTTTTTTTTTTCTGTTTTCATTCATTCCTTGCTGTATTTTACTTCTCTGGTGATCTTTGAATTACTCCCATCCTTTCCTACTCCTTCCCTTTTGCCGGTCTTGGGGTTTATCCACATCATCTTAAGTGGTTTTCCCTCCTTGTTTTGGTTTGACCTGGGTTACTCTGTAAACAGAATGGATAAAAAACACTGTATATCCAACCCAGTTGCTCTTTCACTGGACAGTCGAGAGGCCTTTCAGTGCACCTTGATGAAAAATCTGTTTCCCATTTACACTGTCAAAAGATCTTTATCGCTATTCCCTTCATGAGCATTAACAGGTAGGAGCACTGCATGAATCCACTCAGCCACCAGCTGATATCATCGCTCTCACCTTCTATATTCCTCTTAAGCTCAAGTAGCCGACTTAGAGCTCAGCGGCGCACAGTTGGAGATTTGAAGAGGAAAGATGTGTTCATTGAGCCGCGGCCTGTTAGATGTGTATGATCTTTAATGAGCCCAGTGACATTTATGTGACACAGTATTAAAGACGGAGAGGCTGACAAGCTCTTTAACAAGCCGACCTGTTTTGGCCAGGGGGTTAACTATGATGTGGCAGCAGGACTGCAGTATTACGGAAGGAATTTGCCGTCTGGAATGATGTGAAGATGAGTCAGACACCCTCCATCACTTTCAGCCAACAACGCTCTGCTCAGAAGGAGAGAATGATTCGAGCAACAGTAGAAAGAGTTTTGTACTTCTTCTCCTTAGCTCTTCACACTGGGAAGTGTTGTTTTCTCTGCCAGAGAGGGCATATTGCTTTAAAACTTGGGGCGCATGCCACAGAGGCAGTGGTTGATATTTGTGTTTCTCGTGTAGAAGGGAAAACTCAATACAGAATTGTGTTCTCTGTTATCACTCAGTTTCTCCTGTTAAGCCTCTTTTTATGTTCTCTACTTGCTTATATCCCACCGCTGTCATTACTGCACCTCCCTCATCTCCTATCCTGCCTTCATTTCCACTCCCCCTCAGCCTTTTTCACGCTTATGTCCCCACTCTCTTCCCACGTCCACCATTACCCCACCCCTGCTTCTCCCAGCCATCCTCACAACCATCTGTTGCCCTGACTCGCCACTCTGCCTCTGAATGTTCAAAGCGAGCTCAGTAAAGTTGTTTTTCTTTTTCTCCCTCTGGCTTCCACTGCGTGATGAAGGGTCATTATTTAAACCCCTTCTTTTAAAGATGTCTCTCCGCTCTTCAGAGAAACTAATTGGAGACAAAGGAAGCAGGCGCACTTCCCCCTAATGACAAAGAAGATCCTCGCAACCCAGACATGAGATTTTGACATCCCACCCACCCTTACCTATTTCCTGTTCATCATACTTGTATCTTCCATCTGCCATGTGGCCACTAGCACAAAGGGCAGTGTGCATGGTTAGTTTGTGGACAATTTTTATACAACTCTCTGCAGTGTTCCCTGCAAATGTTGCTGCATTGAACACTGTCGGTCAGGCTGGCAGGCTGTGGGCATACCTCACCTCACTATATGTGCTCTCAGCAGGTGACGACTGCAGTGGTCATTAGGCACTGTCAGGTACACGGAAAGGCTGCGGCAACACAGCATAGACAGGAGCAGACTGGAGCAATAAGCCACACCATGTTTGTCTCATTAGGGGTAGGAAGTCACTATGACCTTAAAGGAAAATTCCCCCTTGAACACTCTTAAAGCATTATATATCATCAGTCAGTGATGATCAGTGGAGTCTAGGACTTATTTTGTGAGTGGTGTGGTGTTCCCACCCTCAACCTACCTGGATACGTGGTTTCTCACACACTTCCCAGAATGCTCTTCGTCGGCTACCAGAAACATGCCTGAGCTTGTTGCATTGCAGGTGGAGAGAGCTCTAATGACAGTAACAGCAAGTCTCCGCATTGGTGCGGTTGAGAAAATAAGAGAGCCGTGGGCCTCGTTTGCTGTGCTCAGTCTGTGGGGACTACGGTCTGTGGAGATATTGGTGACTCTTGTATGATCTATTTCTGTATGGTTGTTGAAAAACAACACGGAATAAGATAATTGTAGAAATGTTTGTTTGTTTAAACAGTGTTGTAGTACATGACGTACAGCAGTCTAGTGTAATCGCCTAAAATATTGCTAGAACATATTGAGAGATGTTATTTGGTTGATTGAACAGCTTCTGAAACCCTTTTCTTCCACACCTTTCTGACATCAGACTTGAGGGAGCTATGTCTTTCTGAACATCTGACCATTTTTGTAACTTAAAAAAACAACAATCTGGCATTCACACCCACTTCACGCCATAACTTATCAGGCTTTTTTTCTTTACACAATATTTAGGTCACTTTTTTTATCTGACTACTGAGTTCGACACTCTTCCAGGAGAGACTGATTGAAAATATGTGCTGTTATCCTTTGAAATCTCACATCCCCCAACCCCTCTCTCGTTCTTTCTCTATCATCTTTGATGATAGGCTTTTCACCCTGTGGGGAACAGCCCTTTACATCCAATTTGAACTGAGCAACACTTCTCACTCCCACACTCCCAACTACTACAGCTAGTGCACAGCCTTCTCACTTGAGCGGAGACGTATACAGTGACGTAATGATGTGGCTCTCTAGCTGGGAAAAGCAAACCTGTTCTTAGAAGGTTTGCAAGTTGAACCAACTCTGAACTGGCACCAACATCATCCCAGAACTAGCTCAAGGTTTGCGTTGGTGGAAAGGGGGTAATTGACTCGTCATGAATCCTTCCTGACCTGGCCTTCTAGCTCCAGTTGGCTGGGCCTTATAGTGAGCTTTAGTAAAAACACACACCCCTACCATTGCTAGCTGAGGCTTGTTTTTATAGGAATGTGGTATGTTTATTGTCTTTGTTTAGCCCTTTGTGACATGCATGATTTTGTTTCTTTGCTAGCTGACTGACAGCTAGATAAACCCTCTAACTTGTATGCAGGCCCTGAAGGGTGTAAAGACAACGTGGTCCTGAGGGCAGGGGTGATCTCCTGATGTAAGGCACTGCGCCCATAGTTTCTACAGAGGAACTGTTTAGAGTACACCAGTAGGGTTTTGTGTATCATTTTTGTGCAGGTGGGGGAGAGAGAGTTTTTACAGGCTATGTTTAGATATTACAAATATCTCAACCACTCTCATTTCTCCTATCTTGGCCCCTCTGTTGCTGTGGTTAACGCACCTGTGCATCAAAAACAGTTTCTGGCAGACAGTCACTTTGAATACTTAGAAAAAGTCCTGAACAACTCGAGAAAGCAGTTGTTATAGTTGGACAACTGAGAATCTCTGTCATTTTCCCACTTTAAGGCTTGTTTTTCTCCATTATTGTCTCGTGTTCTCTCCGTCTGTTTCACTCTTTCATGTTGCAGTCCAATCAAACGTTTATTTTTCCACTATATCTTTCCAACCTTACTACCTTTCATCTCTGCACATTTAATGCCTCCTGTGTGGTGTTTTTCTCTGTTTAGTAGAGGTTTATTGTTATGGCAGTGACAGAAATAAAATGAAACAGTGACTGTAGAGGCAAAGTAAAGGCATTCTTAACTCAGTAAGTGGCCGTTTAGGTGTGGGACATGGGGTTAACATGGTTGAGAATGTTCTCAGCTCGAGAAAGTATCTGATAACACGGCCAAAAATCCTGCCTGCATACAACCCACACCTATTAATGCAGGCGGGTGTTTAATTGCATCAGACCTTTTACAGTTAAGCGTCACCTAAAGTCCATTGGTAAAGTACGTGTGGGTGCCTGTGCCAAGTTGTAAAGTCTACATGAGGCCCACTTATGTCGACTCCCAAGTTTTCATCTTTGTGATGTGAGAGCTGCCGAGTTTGAAAACTGCTTTACATCATTTATGGACTGCTGGCAGGGTAGCCATTTTCATAATATATACATGTACAAGGGTTTGGCTTAAGAAGGGCATAAATTGTTCTCTCAGAAAAGGGCTTCATACAGTGGTACATGTCATGCATGTTCGATGCCTTGTTTGATTGGTATACCAATTCTAACACTAAGTTTTTGTCTGACCCGATGCTAAATAAAAGGCACTTTTTACACAAACGTGCAGTTGAGAATCAAGACGGCTATCACCAGGCCCTCGCTGGGACCGAATCTGTTCAGATCATTCAGTCTTCAGCTTTTCCTCAGACATTGCTTGCCACCTCTGTGATTATATCTGAAAACAAACATGCACACTGTGATGCCAAATACCAAAATTCCTTTCTAGATTTCACGCTTTAGAAATACTCATCCTGCTCCCATATTTCTTCTCAGAGAGGGAAAAAAATCCAAATCGAGTTGAGTAGGGTAATTTACTTCTTTCTCTCTGTGAGCATCTGCCCACCCAGCGTCTCTTGCGTTCTCTTTTCCCCTGCAGTAAAGCGATAGGCTTTTCCATGGAGCTCCATAAGGATGACAATAGCCCAGGTCAGGTTACCTACAATCATTAGTGCTGGCTCGGGACGCACAAACACACTGAGCGCAGCAGGATGGGAGATGGACCGGACCACCCCAGAGCCATTACTGATGGGGATTACTTAGGTATCCCGGAATACACTGGGTTCCAGTGGGAGAGTCTGCACTGTCATTTGACCTGCAACTCCACTGACCCGTTACCCGGTCGACAGTCAGAAGCTCTCTTCTTTCATGCTGTTGAATAAAACCTGCACACACTTTGTACACGCTCAACAAGTTTCACCTTTTTCCATACATAGCTTAAACTTTAGTAGTTAAAAGTAATAAAGTACAGCATTAACCAAAAATAAAAACAAATTCACCACTCTTGTCCTTTAACAAGGCTATGACTTTTACACAGCAAACGGGCAAGAAGCTGCCAGCTCTTCTGTGGATTTGGGCCTGTTGGCTGTAGTTGTCATTGACTTAAAAATAATTCAGTTCAAGCTGCCTTACTTAAGAATCAACGGCAAGCTGTGCAAAGTATTGCAGGAGTTGACTTGTCCCTTTTTAAAACAATGGAAATTCCTGATTCTGTGATGCAAAAGACTTTTGTTTGTTTGTTTTTTGCGTCATAGTGAGAAGTACCTGCCATCATTCTCCTCCTTCAGACAGGACAACAGACCAGTTGCAAAGCAGAGTGGTGGAAATTTGTAGATCATTATTTTTTATTTTTATTTATTATTTTATTATTATTATTATTTTATGGGGAACTTTGACTGAAAAATCAGTTTGCCCAGATGGAAGTCTGAGTGGCCACTGGATAATCCTTATTGTCAGGACTGAGTCAGATTTGGACTTTGTCATGCTATGCATGTTGTGTCTATATACCAGTGCCAACATAAGTGCCTGTGCTGGCATCTACTGTGGCCTTTATTTGACCTTGTGCTCACCTACTTTGGCAGAACAAACCACGATGGATGCCTTTTATCCAAGTCAGGCCAACAGGCTCTCCTGTGCTTTTATGTCCTAATTAGAGAGCAAAGGACCAGCTGAATCGCTGGCTGTGCCTCTGCTCCAAAATGTCTGGTCGTTCAGGGGTGGCCTGGTTTTGTCGTGATTGAGTGTGATGGCTGGGAAACATAAACATGTGTCAGTGAGGAGCACAATCAGATCCAGAGCCCAAGTTTTGGAGGTTGATAGGTATGTGGGTGAGAAGCTCTTTTGGCATTTACCTGTTTCAGCCACCTTTTCTGTCACTCTGGAGTTGCAGGAACCTAAATATAGGTTCTTATGTAGTTTTCTTCTTGTTGCCCACTTCGACCCCTTTGAGGGATCCAGTTTCACTCCGTCTGGCCTGGTGTTTATTTTCAGTTTATTCAGTACAGGTTTGCAATCACTGCTTAATTTCATAGTGAGCTGTTTGTTTTGTATTTTGTCCTCCTTAATACCAATGACATCTATGATTAATTTTGTTTGCAACTTCACACTCGTTGACACACTTCAAAATGAAAAGGAGAAAAGCATGGGAGTAGTGCAGTGCCCCTCTATGAATTGGTCCATGTGGAGGTTAATGATGCAACTTCTATATGATGTTTGTTTCCAGATTACAAAGTTCCAGTTTAATGTAAAGCTAAGTCGAGACAAAGAAAAGCAAACGTGCTGCAGAGAGAGTAATTTAAACCATGTTTGTGTGAGTGGAGCCTGGCCCAGCTCTCTTAATTTTACTCAGGTATTGTTTTCAATAACAATGTAGTCATAGAAACTTGAGTCCAAAAAAAAACATTTATTTATTTATTTTGTTTTTTTACATTTCATTTTAATCCTCTAACAGGCAAATCCAGGTTTTTTCTTTTTCTTAAATCAATGTGTTAGGTTGGATTCAATTTGGGGAAGTTTGTTTAACCTCTCGGAAGTTTGTTTGACCTCTCGAAAGTCTGAGGGGTAAGATGATTTGGAAAAAAAACTTCCAACAGAGCAAGAGATCTAAATAAAATTTGATTAAAAGATTCTGTGTGCTGTTTGCAGCTCTCAGAACATTTTATTAAGAAACACATTGTTTTAATTCAGAGAAAAAACCTACCTCTGTTCAACCCTCCGTGTTCTTGCTGCATTCTTTGTTGTTTTTTTTGTTTGTTTTTTTCTTGTAATTAATAGCTGTTGATAAAAGCAATCTGATTCCAATCTGAATATGCCAAAAAGAAAGAATTTGTGCTGCTAGTCTGAATAAATGTATAGTAACCTTCACGACTCTGGAGGCCAGCGAGGCCTTGCTCAGCTTCCCCAGAGCCAACGCCCAACGCTGCAGTGATGACTTATAACCCACTGTGACCCTTTCCATCTTTTTGTCATCTTCCCTGCTGTAGGATCCCGTCCTGGCTGAGATGCTGCAGAACAATAAGGACCAGATTGCATGTTACCATGAACACGACTCCCTGCTGGACCACAAGGAGGAGGAGGCCCTGAGCGAGGAGGATCGCAAGGCTGCATGGGCTGAATATGAAGCAGAGAAAAAGGTAGGCGAGGAGAAAAACACATATACAGACAGAGATGCACGGTGGCATATATACCAGTTCCAAAGTCAAAGACACACACACACACACACACACACACACACACACACACACACACACACACACACACACCACACCACACCACACAGCCGTTGTGTCCATCATTCTCCCGAGTCATTGACATCAAAGTGCAAGGTGAGCTAAGCAAGGCCCCAGTTTTGTTTGTCAGGATGTGTGAGTTACTGTTGGATCTGTATAATTCCCCCCACCCCCCCACCCCTTACTCCAGTGATTGTCATTTTGACCCATCATCAGGCTAGTGATCCGCAGTATAAATCACTGCGGCTGTCCAAGCAGTGTCGGGGCTACTTTCTGTAAGTACATGGGTCCACAGAGGGTCAGGGACTCCTTCTGTCTGTGCTACACTCTTTACTTTTCTCTCTTTTCCTCCCCCACTGTCCCCTCCTCTTCCCTCTCCTTTCTTTTAGGACAAATCAATGGGCAATTAGTGGGGTTTATTTGGAGAAGTTGGGGGGGGGGGCTTGATGTAAGAGAGCAGGAGCAGGTCTCTTCTCCCCCCTGTGTAATCCTAGATTCTAATTCACTCTAATGATTATTTGTCCAACACACACTCCCTCCTCTGCCCTCTGTGTGCCTTAAGCGGCTTTTCCCTCCAAGCTCCTCTTCTTTTCAAGAGAACAGAGGGTTCCCAGTCGCAGGAAAAACAGTGGCGCTGAGGTCGAATGTGAGGATTTCAATTGCGTTCGCATCACTGCAATCTGTCATACACTAAAGATGCAGAAGTAGTCACTTTCAGCCATGAGAGGCTGTTCAGTATCACGCTGTATACTCTGAGATTTGTAGGAGAAACAACTGGAACGTAACCTGGCCTCTGCTAATGTCTTCACAACTTATGGGTTGGCCGGTGGTGGCCAGGGAAGGCTAAGTGTATGAATATCAGATTTGCAACTCAGGAAATGGGAAAAACTGTAAGAACATGATCAGGTGCCCAAAACTAAACTGAACCCAGGAGCACTCTGCCTCACTGGGATGACTTCAGCTTGGTTCAGAGCTTAGCGAGGCTCATGTCATAAATTTAGATTTCAGACGTTTGAGTTTTGGAAATGAAGTCAAGTCTAGATTTTGTGTCTGTCTGTCTGAAGATGTTTGAGGTTTGCACAGCATCTGAGGATGCACGCTAAGTCCAAAAGTTGCTGCTTGTTAATGGCAAATCCAAAAGTGAAGAGTGAGTGTGTGTGTGCTTAGACGTTCATGTGTGTTGTGGCTCTGTGGTTGTTTTGAGGTTTTGTACTGTTTAGGCCTGCACACCTGTCTCTGACCAAGTCCAAAGACCCCAACTGGCCCCCAACACACACACACACACACACACACACACACACACACACACACACACACACACACACACACACACACACACACACACACACACACACACACACCGGATGGCCAGATTACAGGGCACAGGAAAACCATCTGCAGCAGCTCAATTACACACAAACATCGGCATCCTGCTGGCCTTTACTGGGACAGGACTGTTTACCTCAGGTCACTACTCTCTCTCTCTTTCTTTTTCTCTCACTTAGATACACACACACACACACACACATAGACAAGCGTTTAATACAAGCGGAGCAGGCTGATATCAGGAAACTTGTTGCTTTTGCAGAGTGAAACAAGTTGAATGTGTAAAGAGTTGAAAACTACCAGTCACTGTGTGAATGAGCTTGACAGGCGACATGAACTGTCGTCTCTGGTCGACCACAGTGACACAATCTCTCCCTTCATGCCCTTGGTGGCTCTTAACACCTGCCTAATTGATGTGTACTGTCTTTCATCTATCAGGGTCTGTCCATGAGGACCAACTACCAGTCATCATACTCCCACATGGACATGGGCAACTCCAGCTACTTCTCCTACAACGTGGCGGCTCTGGCCTCCATGACCAACCAGCAGCTGGAGGTAAGTAATGAGCTCCACATGCCCCTCTCCTGCCTCACACTCCTCTGTCTCCTTCCCCCACGGCATGGCGCCCCACATTCCTCAGACCCCACTGCTAATTGTGACAACAGTCTAGTAGCCACCGAGCCCAGCTCTGCCCCGCTCCTCCACCCACTGGTTCGTAATACTCCATGTCTGGGGCAGCAGCTATTTATACACAGTGTCACATCTGACTGACGGAGAGGACAAAAAAGCCTGAGAGGCGATTTGTATTTTTCATTAAGGAAGTCAAATGTGTGTAAAACAAAGGTGTATAATTATGGCATGTAAGAAATTGTGTTGTTTCAGCTCTCTTTTTGTAAGCAGACAGACTCTCATAAACTTGTGACTTGTGATTCAACAACGCAGCATCCCCTTCTTAAGGAGACCATATCAGATTTTGGAGCTTAAAATCATCAAACATGCTGATGGAGCTAAAGCTACCACCATATTAGCTGACTACAGTGTATTGCTAATGTGTCGCCTATTTTCACATTCAGCGCACACCGAGCAGGATTAGCATTTACTGGAGTCCTGTTTCCAGTCACCTGATGAATGCAAATCTAATATTTACACCCCTTTTAGCTTTGTATTCACCAACTCCTGAGAATTTCCCCACTAGCCAGTTGCTAACTGTCTGATATTTGGTTCCAGGCAGAGTTGATCAATTATGGCTTTTTTGCTGGGAGTAGTAAGACTGAACAGCTTTGTAAATATGTGGGTTCTAAAAACAAAACAATGAGCTAAAAGAATTTCTGCAGAGCTGCACATGTCAGTGTGACTATGAATGATGGTCTTGACATAACTCGTTTGATTTAATGATAATCTCAAAAATATTGATTAATGCAAATTTAATCATCCATGTTATCATCCACAGTTATGTATCCATCGTTTATGATGAAAATTGTCCCTTGTTTCATATTTTCCATCTCCTTCATTTGTTTTCAGGACCTTATAAACCAGGGACGACAGAAAGTCATTGAAGCAACAAATGCACTTAAGACTTTATCACGGGAGTCACTGGAGGACACAATCGCCAGAGTGGTGAGGCTTCTAAATCACTCTTCAGTCAATATAATCTTGATAACTATTGTTGGAGCAAGAATCTTTATTTGTCAAAAGAAGAATTTTAAACAAGTCCTCTTTCTGTCACTGGACTGCAGCATGATTATAGTTGTTATGGTGGTTGAGGTCAACGTGTGAGCTGTTGTCTTCCCCCACAGTGGAAGGAGAATCCGGCACTCACGGAGAATCAGGTCCAATCTATGGCTCTGGGACGACAGGCCAGTGTGGAGCTGGAGATCAAGCGCAGGGAAGCCATTTACAGGGAGGTTCTCACCAGGCAGCAGACGGTAAGAACTGCTTACTAGAAGACAATATGTGTTGTCATCATTTTACTAGCAAACTACGCTATTTAAATATGAAAAACAAACTGTAGCATTTAGAACTGGGACATACTGGCAAAACTCTACATTACAATACTTTTTGGTGATGATACAATTTTAATGGTTCTTAAAGGAGATATGTACCCATAAAGTTTAATGTGCATATCACGACCAAGCAAGTAGAAGCATTTGTTCATTCACTCTTCAAGAACAGTCTAATAGGTTCAGAAAGTTATGTAATACAGTCTACTAGATAAAAAAGGACACAGCACATCAGCTACGATGTTTGCCCAGTCCTAGTTAAATATATTTACCTGGAGAAGCTTAAAACTGGACAGGCAGTACTTGTATCTGATTTCTGTCTTTGTCTCGGGTCCCCTTACAGACTCTTAAGCTGCCTACACACTATGAAATTTCATCAGTCTTATAAGTTTACTGTAGGCCACACTGTGCAATGTCGATTTAATAAACTGTAAAGTCTGCATACATCAACCTTGAAGTTGTACAATGATTAACACCTGAATTGTAGGCTAGGATGCAAGTCATTATACAAGAATAAAACGTCATCAGTGTGCGTCATCCGTCTGCGCCGGTATAGTGATCAACAATGGAGCTAAGCAAGAATCCAGCTCTTGCAATAGTGGAATTTATGTGTATGGAAAAGAATCCAAGGAAGAAGAAGAGGAGGAGGAGATTGTGGATCCAGTTGTGGATAGGGAAAAGAGGCCAACTTGCCAACTTGGGATGCCAATTTTGAGAAGAGAGCTTGAGATAAGTATTTTTTAGCATACACAATGTACATAGCCATTTAGGTCGATAATTAAATAAGACATTACATTCTACCTTGGTGATGTCATTTTGTCATATATGGCCAGTTTTCGATGTATGTTGTTTTTATTGTCCATTATCTTCACATGTGCTTTAGAGATGTGAGGTCTTCTGCTGGCTGGTTGTTACTTAATTACAGTAGTAATTTTATAGTTAGTTGTAGTTACTTGAACTGTCTCTTTGTGTTTGTGTTTGCCCAGCTGATGATGTTCGTGCAGAAGCTGATCACCAACAGGAAAGTGCAAGAGCAGCAGCTGGCCATGGCTAACCAGGCCAGCTACCTGAACCAGCTGGCCATGCAGAACGGCATGATGGGAGGCGGCGGACTCAGCCAGATGGACCTGCTGGGGCTTTACCAACAGCTCCACGGCCTGGGCTCCCATCAGGGCATGGGCAAGAATCCTGGGCCTTCCAAGGGCCTGTAGGTCAGAGGGACTCTTCCACAGCCCCCACCCTCCCACCCCCTTCCCACTCAGCTAGCTGGCTCCCAGTGGCCCAGTCCAAGAGTGGCCCTGTAACAACACACTGTGAGACCGCTGAGAGCTCAAAGCAAACCGGTGCACCATGCAGAGGGTGGAGTAGTTTTGAGACTAGTTTGCTGTCCACTGGGGCCTCAAGTGGGATAGACTCTCAGTCCTTTATTCTGTAGTTCACTGAGAGAAGGTGGAATATAATGTATAAATGACTGTATGAAAGATCTGTTAGGAAGTTCAACAGGAAAAAAAATGTATATACCGCCTTAATGTTATTCAAGTTCTATATCTTCATTTTTCATGTATTTAAAGACAAACGAGTTTTACCCCCAATGCTTTTGAGCATTGTATTGTTTCCCCTTAAGAGGGTTTTCCTTATTATTTAAACTCAGTTTTTTATACAGTTTTAAAATGCCTAACTAAACCTGAGTGGGACCAGTGTCGTTGGTGACAGGACTCTATGATGTAAGGCTCTACAAGATTATTAGCACCAGTAGATTCCTCCACCAATATCACCAACAGCTGTTGATTCTGCAAAGTCCTGCTCTTTTTGGGAGATAGAATAAACTGATAAGTCAACAAAAACATAAAAAAACATAAAAAATTATGGCCTTATATTTGTTTCCTAAAAAAAAGCTCTGTAAAGTTCTGAGATTTGAGATTTGTTGAGAACCTTTTCTATTATGCTTTTAAGTGTTTACATTAGTTGTCACTGAACATGGTATTGGAATGCTTGTGTTGTTCAAAACTGCCTGCCCGTTCCTATGACCTTTTTGTAACATCATTCTCATCGTCATGTGTTGTCTAGCATAGCACTGTGCGTCCTGTTCATTGTTTATGTTCCACTTGTGTTGATCCCAAGCTGGGGTGACTGACTGGGTCTCACAAAGCAAAACCACTTCAGCCACGTATCACAGGGCCCAAAACGTTTCCCTTTACTCGTCTGTCACAGTTTGAGATGTGTGTTTCAGCTTGGACTTGGTTGGAGGAAGTAAAGACTGGAAATTTTTATTATATCTGGCTGATTTGTGTCGTCTGCTTTGTGAGAAACTGCCCTCCTGGACACTAGTCTCACCAGACAGGCACCCAGACTACCTGTATTCTACTTTGGCACATTCTTGCTTCTAAATGCTTAAACTGGTGTAGCTGTTAAACATGAGGAATATGTACATTTCTCATGAAGAGACGCCTGTTGTCTCTAGTTGGCTCCTGTGTTTGCACAAGGTGTATTTCATAAGTGTAGAGAAACTTTTTTGCCCTCCTCTAAGAATGTTCTTATGTTAGCAAATACACCAACCTGATTTGCCATGAATCTGATCTGCTATTATCTTGATAAGTATTTAATATAACATTTAATAAAGTGACCAAAAGGATGAGCAACTCCTGTGTTTGAGTTATTTGTTGTTAAGCAGTCTGCATTCCTTTCCACTGACTGAATTTATGGTGGGGAATGTTGGTAGGAGATTTGTTAATTCTTATTTAGTATTGTAGGTCTTCCACTTTTTATTACACATCTGCATGATAACGTGTCTAAAGCCTGACTAATGGTGAATGGTTAAGGTTTATATCGATATCCGATTTGTAAGACTCTGCATACTCTTGCATATCAACAACAAAATATTGGCCAGTATTTTTTTTTGAGCATTTTGTACCTTTTTATTAGACAGTTGACAGAAGAAAATGAGTTGAGACAGATGGGGAATGACAAAGCTCCCCAGCCAGCTTTGAACCAGGGATGTATCCCATTACTGATGTATTGTACCAGTCGATTTATGTTACGTGTCAAGCTTTAAACATGCAGTCAGTAACCGGGAAACTGCAGGTTTATGTTAAACTGAGGAATAGTTTGACATTTTCTAAAATATGCTTATTTGCTTTCTTGCCAAGAGTAGCATAAAAAAGATTTATGCCACTTGTGTCTGTATGCTAAATGCTTCAGCCAGCAGCTGGTTAGCCTAGTTTAGCATAATAACTAGAAAGGGGGAAACAGCTAGCCTGGCTGTGTCCAAAGGTAACAACAAAATCTTCCTGGTTTGCCAGACAACCTGAAGAGACTTTGCGAAGCCATTGAGCCTGACCAAAAACTACATAACCCCCTGTAAAAGCACAACTATGTTTTTACACTTGGGTTTATGTACAAGGTTAAATAATTTATGATGTCCTAACTAGTGAGCTTTTAGGTGCAGGTGGGTATATTTATGTTGCCTTTTATCAGAGCCAGGCTAGCTTTTCCTCCCTGCTTTCAGTATTTATGCTAAGCTAACTGTCTTCTGGTTCCAGTTTCATATTTACCATTCAGATATGAGAGTGGTATCTATCTTCCCATGTCATCAAGAAATCTACAGAACTACTCCTCAACAGTTAGGAAGCAGCTAACTGATAACATCATGATGCACCGTCCCTCTATTTCACACCCACAGTACTAAGTGCCTTTTGTCCCACTCTCTTCTCCCTTCAATCTTTCATCTATTTTTCCCTCTCCCGGTATTGTTTTCATTTCTCAGTCTGCCAGGGTTTTCCCCTGCATGTCTTTGGCTTTTCCATTCCCTCCCCCCAGGGGAGCTTGCTCTCACAGCTTACAGATATCTGCCAGTGGAGAAACATTACAACTATTGCAGATGTTGAAATGTTGATCCCATCCCCTCTTAGCCCCAGATTACCACCACTCCAGGTTTGCAGCACATCCCTGCTGGTTCTCTGTGCAGCAGGCAGCTGTTTCTGTCCATTGAAAAGACCCGCTGCAGACTACACTATAGTGCAGTCTGTGAGGCCCCTACAGTGAACAACCAATCACTGCCCTTAATCCATGCTGATGTGTAAAGCCAATTAGGAGTCGGGATCCAGTTGCATAAGGAATCTGATTTTGTACGGTGGATGTAGGCTGACTAAGACCTTATGGAGACAGAGAAGGCCTGTGCACATTACTTGGTAAAGGGTTTATGAGGGCAAATTGGCATGGGATTGTATGGGTGTTCTCTTTTGCGGGGAAAAAAAGTCTGCTGTATCTTTTTACCCAATTTTCTCTGAGTCTTTTGGAGAGCAGGACAAAGTGCCACAAGGGCACTGCTTTTAAAGACATTACATGTGATAAGATGTATTTTAATAAAAATGAGCAGGGTGCATAATGATGGTCTTTCAGTAGTGCTAACTTACATCAGCAAAGCCGAAATAGTTTTTGATCAGACTAAGAAAAGATACTTTTTAATAAAGGTCTATTCATTATCAGGTGAAAAACAAAAACTTTGACATCATGGTGATGCTAGGTGAAAAGTCAGGGGATCACCTAAGTCAGCAGGATCCATCTTCCGGGGACCTTGAATGTCTGTATAAGATTTTCTAGCAATCCATCCAACAGTTGATTTATTTCAATCTGGACCAAAGTGGTGACACACCCACATTGCCATTCATAGAGCCACACGGCCAGCATGACTGAAACCAAAAGGAAAGAAATGCAACATTCACATAGATATCTATATCTGGTTTTAATTGGTACATCAGATTTTAATCCAAGCAAAAATAGTCGGTCACAATGAGTTCTCGATAGCAGGACAATTTTATTGTCATGTTCATTGCAGTTCTTCATTTTTTTGTTTGTTTTTTTGGTGTAATTTCAGTAGAATCTACAGTCCAGATAACTTCAAGTTCATTACAAAATAAAGTCTTTGCAATAAATAAATATATAGATTTATATTTATACTTTATATGTAGAAAATAAATATATTGTACATCTTATAAATAGGATCACCCATATGTACACCTCAGCTGCTTGCATTTTTAATAATGTTCCTGACACTCTGAACATTACAAGTCACCATCCTTATTCTTTACAAACTCAGTCAGAGAAGTGCTTTTGTCCCCAGCTTAATCACTTGTTTTGCACACAACTCCTACAGGATGCTGCTTGATATTTGATATGAATTTGATCATTAGACTTGTCATTACATGGGAGACCAAGTGAGCCTACAGTTGGGACTGGGGGTGTGCAGTAAGTGCTCTTTCATCTATCTCACATTCATCATAGAGATTTTATATCCCCACTTTCATCTTTGATTTTGAAGACAATTTAATTAAACTCCAGTTCCCCTATGTAACAGTTTATTCTCTGCCTCATAGACATTCTTCTTACAGACTCTTTAGTACCTGACTATCCAAACCTGCCACTTAACCTGCATGTAGCACACAGTTTGTGTATTTCTGACCCTTACCTTCTGTCTATCTATCTCCATGCATGTGGAATGTGCCCTTTCTCACATTAAACATTACCATGACTGTGTATAGTGCGTGACAAATGCACCGTGTGACATCTGTAGTGCTTTCAGTTTCCTTTTGGAGCTTCTAAAAGTCTCTTCTCTGTTCTCATAGTCAACCATTCACTTTTTCTCCCCACCAGCTTAGTGCTACTCAAAACTGCCAAGAGCCACGACTCCATTTGTCATTGCATGTCACTTCAGCGTCTACACATCTACCTCTAAAAAGTGGTTATTGAGAAAACATGGCACCTGATGTAATTGTCCCGACCACCCCATAGCTGGGCAGTCATGTGGGCCTCCTTTGTCCATGTCCGTAGTGGTTTTACAAGACAACTTTCCCTCCTCTCTGAGGTCACAAGTCCACTACAGAAGCAAAGAAGCAACATCCAGGAACATGCACAATGTTTATGTCAGTGCTGTACGTGCTTGGTAGTGGGGCTGAGGTGCAAACACAGTGACCTCAGGGGGGGTTGAGGGTAAACAGTTCTGTACCAGGTCCAAAATATCCACAACACCCCCCCTCTCCTCTTCTTTTATTTCTGTTCCTCCCAATGTAACCAGCTCTCCAAGTATAAGCGCTGGTCACCTGTATTGGAATAAGTCCCTGTATGCTTGAGGGATCTTTTCAATCTCCACCGGCCTGGGTAAGAAGTGGGTGAGTTTCTGGTGTTTTTTAGTCCTGCCGCCCTCCCTGGGCGAGCCATCCTTGTTTAAGGCCACGTAGTAGAAGCGTCCTGTGTCTGTGTGATTGTACAGAGTTGAAGCGTAGGTGTTGTACCAGTTCTCCTCAAACTGCTCCCTGAACACACATTCTGCTGTCAGCTTCTTCTGCAGGAGAGAAAACAACCCATTAGTCACATGCTGAAGTCGTGCTTGCACGGCACTGACTGAGAAGGGAAACAAATGAGTACAATTTGCAATAACAGAAAGATTAAAGAGACATCAAAATGCAGATGAGACTGAGATGAATGATGCTGTTTTGCATGCAGATGCTCCACTGTTACTGGTGTACTTGTTTATGTATGTCATTAACTCTTTTGCACTGCACTTGAAAGCTGAAGTGAACCAGAGGAAGCTCATCTAGGCAGGTGCTCATTATGACAAAAGAGGGGAAGTCATTACGAGCGGCTTTTCAG